TATATATATATATATATATATATATATATATATATATGTATATAAACCCTAAACCCTAATACCTAAACCCTAAACGCTAAACCCTAAACGCAAACCCTCAATCACAAACCCTAAACCCTAAACCCTAAGCTAGGCCCTAGACCCTAAACCCTAAACCCTCAGCCATACACCCTAAACCCTAAACCCTCAACCGTACACCCTAAACCCCAAACCCTAGATCCTAAACTCTACCAACGCCAGACCCCAGATCCTAAACCCTAAACCCTAAACCCTAAACCCTCAACACTAAACCTATGGCCCCCGACGCCAGATCCTAAACCCTAAACCCTAAACCCTAAACCCTAACTGCTTGACCCCATACCATAACCCCTAAACCCTAAACCCTAAACCCTAAACCCTAGAAGCCCCCAAACCCTAAACCCTAAACCCTAAACCCTAAACCCTAGAATCCCCCAAACCCTAAACCCTAAACCCTAAACCCTAAACCCTAGACAGGCGTAGAAAAAAAAAAAAAGGGTTTACGGTTGATAGATGGAGTGTTTGAGGGTTTGCAGCAGCTTGGTTTGAGTGTTTAGGGTTTTCATATTAAAATATTTTAATTTATAATAAACAGAATTAGACTCTATTAATATATTTTTTATTTTTGTTTGTTTATTTATATCTTTATGTAGACTAAACCCTAGCTGTACAGAGCTGCCCATACACCCCAGCAACAAACCACGTAAACGCTCACTAAAATCCTCCTTCTCTTCTTCTTCATCTTCTGCTGCTGCTGCTGCTGCTGCTGCTGCTCCTGCTGCTGCTCCTGCTGCTGCTGCTGCTGGTGCTGCTGCTGGGGGGACACTGCTGCTGCTGCTGCTGCTGCTGCTGCTGCTGCTGCTGCTGCTGCTGTTTTTTTTTAAAGGGGGTAAAACCTCTTCTGTTAGTAAATGCAAAATTTCGTCAACACCCCCAAGAAGGCTGACCAAACCCTCGCATGTTTCTGCAGCAGAAGGGCTTGGATCCATCTCCTAGGGTTTACGAGGGTTTAGGGTTTACGAGGGTTTAGGGTTTAGGAGGGTTTAGGGTTTAGGAGGGTTTAGGGTTTAGGGTTTAGGGGGGCATTGTAGGTATTTTAGGGTTTTTGCATTTCATACACTCGATTGATATGCGGGAAGTTTAGAGGTTAAAATCAATATATTAGGGTTTAGGGTTTAGGGTTTAGGGTTTAGGGTTTAGGGTTTAGGGTTTAGGGTTTAGGGTTTAGGGCTGGCAGTGGCTGTGGTCTCTCTTTTTCACTCCGCTCCACTCGTAGAAAGAAAAAGAATAAAAATTAATTAAAAAATTTAGGTTTTTTGATGCTAGGGTTTAGGGTTTAGGGTTTGAGGTCTAGGGTTTAGGGTTTAGGGTTTAGGGTTTAGGGTTTAGGGTTTAGGGTTTAGTACGGGGCCCTCATCGGCTTGCTGTTGGCTTCAGTATTTGTCTTCTGCTAAAACAAATAAATATATTTTATATTTTATTTTTTTATTTATTTCTTTTTTGTTTTATCTTTCTATTTACTAAACCCTAAACCCTAAACCCTAAACCCTAAACCCTAAACCCTAAACCCTTTTTTTGTGGGGCGGCAGTGTTTCAAGGGTTTTTGTATTTCTTCTGTATTTCTGAATTGTAATTCTTTCGTGGTTTAGGGTTTAGGGTTTTGAGTTGAGGGTTTAGGGTTTGAGCGGTTGAGGGTTTCTCTCTATACCCCACCACCACCAAGGGTTTAGGGTTTAGGGTTTAGGGTTTAGGGTTTACAAATGAAGATACAAAACCCCAAAGGCCACTGGCGCCCCGTAAACCTCCCGCAAGGGTTTGCGTGTGAGGGTTTTATATCTCTGGAGGAGTTTGTTATAGACGGAGACAAACAAAACACAAAAAAAAATAAAAAAAATAAAAAAAGAAAAAGAAAAGAACAGCAGCACCAGCAGCAGCAGCAGCAGCAGCAAGATGAGGCTGCAACGGAGACAGCAGAAAAAAAAGAAAAAAAACAAAAGAAAAGAAAAATACAACAGCAGCAGCAGCAGCAGCAGCAGCAGCAGACAGCCGATGCAGCAGCAGCAGCAGCAGAAGAAATAACATCTCCTACCAGCAGCAGCAGCAGCAGCAGCAGCAGCAGCAGCAGCAGCAGCAACGGGAATGACGAGAGTACATTATCG